GGGAGCCCGTACGCGACCTATATGACCTAGTCTCCTGGTTAAGGTTTTCATACCCCCGCATCACGGCATTGTGGGTCAGACGTTTGAGTCGAAGGCTCCGGTTGGAGTTCCCAAAGAAAAAATGTCTTCGACAAACCTACCACTTGGTCTCTACAAACAAACTATGCTGCCGAATGAATAGCACATCTAACTTGTTCCATCCGTGGATCAACTTCTCCACCTCGCGGTGCCCCTAGCTCCTGTCCAAGCTTTTCCTCACAATGTGCGCAAACAGATTTATCACGCAGACAATGATGAGTTCAGGTGGTGATTTTTGACGCTTATTACCCGCTTAGTACGATTCCCACACCTCGCCGGCTTCGTTGTCACCTGATGTGCGGATGAAGTTCCTGGAAGACAAATCCGGCGTACTTAGGTGGCTTGTAGTACTGGGATCCTGGATTCGCGTCTCCGATACGCAGCAGGCATCAATTCCCAAAGAGTCCGTTGTACGCGCCAGTCGCGCTTACATATGAGCTCTTACGTTAAAAGCCCCCAGATTCATTGGCTGATGAGTCTCCAGAATCTGCAATTTATTTTGTGGTAAACTGTATACAACGCTACTTGGCAAAAAACTTTGTCTAGTGACGAACAAGTTGTATGATGAAATGTTACGGACTGGGGGCAAGGGCAAAGAATGAGGGTCGGGTATAGAAGACAAAGAGTGCAACAAAGATTGGGATGTCTGAGCAGTAGCCCACTTATCACTACCCACGTCTCTCGATGTAGTGGGCAGCACGGCCCTGATTATCCTGCGCGACGACCGATGCCGTATGGAATTAATTTTAGTTTGTCTTTTCATTGGAGCTTTATTGACGGGTACTGCTAGGGTGTCCAGCCATTGGCAGATAGCCTTGCTGTCGTCCGGTTCAATACCACGCCTATCCTAGTGGGGTCTTATGTAGTTCACCACTCCAAGTCCCGTGGCTTAGGTCACCGGGTTCCATCACTGACCTGCAGGTCCTCGTGACTTTGGGGTTTACCACATCTGCTACTCATCACACGAAAAGTGTGTAATAAAAAAATTAAGCAGGAGAACGATTAGGGCTCCCAACCAGAGTCTTTGATTCCGACAAGAACCTAACCAAAAGGCAGCGGGTTAGGCCCAGTGGAGGCCCATTTACTTGGATCAATCAATCGAGAGAGGTGCACAAGCCATCAGAGTGCTGTCTCATCGTGAGAAGCATATCTCATAAGTAAAATCGGACCAAAATTTTGTATCCTAATCACTCTACCCTTTGAGGTATGGTGTCATTCAATCTGTTTACGACTCACTGTCCACCACTGCGTCTCACACAATACCCACTTCATTCAACACACCACGTTCATTTTTCCCACTGCCTTTCCATTCTGTCGCCTAATTTACTTCTGCTGTCGTCAGTTTTCTCTAAGTTGTTCAACCAATTGACCCAAGTTTCTCCACACCCTGTGTGGATTGTCTTGATTGTTGTGTGCCACAAAATGAGCTTTTCTCAAACGTTTAGGCATTCGCGGGGTGATGTTTTGATTAGTTTATTGGAGTAGTAGGAGGATGAACGACCAGAAAGTGGTTTATGCCACTGATAAACATTTGAAAACTGCACAGATAATGTTGGTCAAGCAGTTCAAGTCGCTCTCACTGGCGTGCCTTGGGCCCTAGAGTCCTAGGTTCGAATCCGTTCACTTCCATGACCACCACCACTACTACTACTATTACTACTACTACTACTACTACAAATACTACCATCACCACCACTCAAATCAACCACATAGCAGTAAGCTACCGTTGGGGTGACTCAGTGCAAAAATGCAGGTCCTATTGGACCATCTGCGTTGAGTCTGACCACGCATTCGTTTTGATGCAGTTTACTCTCCAACTCTACCGGCCGGCGACAAAACCAGCAAACTTAGAGAGTTCATCATCGATTATCTGTTCCAGCAGTTCATACTATGAGTCAGAGCTAGTCCGTGAGCTAAGCGCGTCCCAACCAGATGATGTGGATGATAAGTGGGAGCAGATTGGGTGAGCAATGCATTCCGCAGCGAATGTTGCTTACGAAGAGCCTCAAGGAGGACCGTGAGAACTGGTGGCCAACAGTAGCTAGTGAAATGGAAGTAGCAGGTGCATCAGGGAATAGTCAAAGACTGTTCCGACTGATACACAATACGGGAGGTCTGCGAACTCCAGTTGGTGAAACAGTCTGCGATCAGAAAAGACAAGCTATTCACAATAGGGATGAACGACTTGATTGCGAGGCGGAATACTTCAGCAAACAGTTCAGCTGGTCTGGCGCTAACCAGATTATTTCTTCTACAACTGCAGCTCTGTGGGCAGTATCGTGCGATTCTCCAGCAGATGCAGAAGTTAGGTCTTGCATTCAAGCTCTGAAGCCTCTAAGAGAGACCCAAATCCGAGAATAGCAAGCCGTGAATGTATTGATCAAATTTCTACGTTAGGTCAGGTCTTAGAGCTGCGTCACACCCATCGTTGACCAACGATCGCAGTGTTGCTTGACATGAAAAGATCCTTCGACTCAGTTGACCACGAAGCTCTGATGGGCTGCCTTCTTCGAAAAGGAATGCCCCAGAAGTACGTTAACCTACTGAGGTCACTGTACTCACATAACTCCGGTCGTGTAAGGGTCTACAAAGAACTAAGTAGGCTGTTCGTCACCAGCAGCGGCGTTCGTAAAGGGTGCCCTCTTCCGCCGTTCCTGTTCAATTTCGTCGCAGACGAAATACTGGAGAGCGCATTAAGGGGACTCAAAAACGTAGGTATTGAATGGACAGCTGGAGAAAAGCTGTGCGATTTGGAGTACGCCGATGATATCGTCTGTCTGTTCGAATGTATGGAGGACGCGCAAAGTGCACTTGATAGATTAACAAGTGCGGTTACCACATTCGGTGTGTGCTTTGCACATTCAAAGTGCCAAGTGCTGCTGCAAGACTGGGTATCGCTTACTTCCGCTCTGAAACTAAATGGCCAGGAATTAGTTACGGTGGATTACTTTTCCTACTTAGGTAACTGCGTGACTAATGACGGCAGAGCAGCGAAGGAGATAACCGCCCGCACTTCCAAGACTGGAGCAGCATATACAGGACTGAAATACCTTTGGCGTAGACGCGACGTTTCACTGAAGTTGAACGGTCGTGTCTATTGTGCTAGCGTTCGTTCAGTCCTGCTTTATGGTTGTGAGACCCTGAATTTGC